CCGTATCGCTTCAATGGGGGGGGGGGGAGATATTGAAATTCGCGTACGTATACACACCAGAAAACGTAACCACGCGCGGACTTGCGGAAAATCCATGAATCGTCATTGAAAATTATTATTCCACGCACTGCACAAGTGTACACCTCGTGCCGGATGATCGTGCTCTTGAGCATTAAATATATGCGCGGGAAATTCAAACACGCATCCCGTGTATACACGAGGCATTCGAATTTCAAATTCGGCGCGCGTTGATTCTCGACAACCCCGCGATATCCGACCATGTGGCCATGTACACCCAAGCGCATGCAAATATTCGTTACAGCGTGACCCACCGCGCTCTAATTAAAACTATCCACACGGTATACTTGTTTCTCGACGTAGGTATACACGCACCCGCTGCGTCCCAATGTATAAATATATGATACACACAAGACGCTCGCACATATTACATTTCGGAACGTACATGCAGGTATAGACGAACCGTATCCTCGTATTATAGTTTAAAATCGCCAATAATCGGCCCCCCCCCCCCCCGAGTCGAAGCCACCCTATGTGGCTCCATCTAATCCATATTATGTTCCACTCCTATTTGATCTCGTGCTCCGATCTTCCTTTTCCCCGTCCGTCCTTTTATCTCTTGCCGCGCCCTCCTGTTCCATAAGAGCACGTTAATTGCACGTACATCTCTCGATACCTGATCTGGGGTAACATTTCAAAGACTCAGCTTCGAGTTCCCTTATTTCCCGTGCTCTATTCGTTATGTTCTACTTATATAACTTTGTTCCTCGTCTCTGATGTACCGTTGTGAATCTCCATGTCGAAGCGCTTCTCCTTCTCGCTGGGTAGCACGACGACGTCAAACAAGCTTGACTCTCCTGAGCTGCATCGCGAATCACGAATAGCGTATAGTATACAGTACACAGTCGACACAGTGATTTACCCGTCCGACGTGATTTCGCGTATCGTCTACAACGCCACATAGCTGCGGTAGTATAGATGCATATATACCCAAACACCTATACAGGTAAAAAATATATACATGTACGCGTGGCTTCGCCGTGACGACGTATAGCCAGAGCTCATCCATATACATCGGGAAAATTAATATCTCCGAGCTTCCCTGCTCTCCTGCGTTGGACAAACCCACCCGGTAGGTATACCTTTCTTACCCCTCGAGTATATCTCTGGACTCGCCAGTCCCCTCGGTTCGCCGGAAAATACAAGTTCCAGAAGTCGGGCGGCGATAATACCATTACCCTCCGTCGTCTTCGTCCCCGTAATCAAGCCGAGAGCTGATATTGTACCACGGCTGCGGGAAAGGGGCTCTGGTTAGCGTCGCCGGTGACTTTTTCAACTTTCGAGCCGAGTTATGTACGCGAATTGCCGATCGGGGAATTATGCAAACTGAACATTATTGCCGCGGCCCGTCGAAACGTTTTTCATCGAACGACTCCCCCCTGAAAATTAATGTATCGGCTTTTTTTTTTTTTACCCTCCTCTGGTGTGTGTATCATTTATTGATTTTTTTTTTTTTTCTTTTTCGACGGAAGTTTTCTCGTTTTATTTGCTCGAGTATTACAAGTGTTTTCAAAGGGTCGACAAAAGGGAAGCTCTCGCGTGTACGGCCTCCGACTCGGAGGAAATCGTATTAAAATTTCTTCTCGTGGTACCTCGTGCAATATGTTGGGGGAAGGGGCTCGATTGTCTCCGATACAGCGAAATAACGACTCTAGACGTCGATAATCAAACTTTCCCCGATACCAAACTGCATACATGTATATAAATTCCCTTGTGCGTGTATAATATATAACCTGTGCAGGGGGTGATTAAAAGAAACTCGAGACTAGCGTAGTTGAAGAAAGTTTTAATTAACCAGCCCCCGATGCTCGACTGCACGCGCTCGTCAGCCGAATATCGACGAGGACAAGAATTAGCTTCTCTGGGCGAAAGGAGTCCGCGCGGAAAAAAAAAAAAATAGAAAAGCTCTTCCACCCCCCCGGTCTCTTTCTTCCTGCTGTACAAGAGTCGAAAGAGCCTCGATGGTATGAACGCTGATTACAAGCGATACCCAAAGCAAACCGTACAGCAATGGAAGAATGAGGAAAAAAAAGGGGGGGGGGAAGGGGGTGAAAAAGAAATTGAAAACGAGCGGAGAACGAGCCCCTGGATATACACATGTATGTATATAACTGTAATGAAGAGAGCGCGAAGGAGGAAAAAAAAGGAAACAACAGTAGCAGCAGCAGCAGCTTATTTGCATTGGAATTTTCGTCGTGGAACAATTGGAGCGTGCGGCTGTATATACTTGCACACAGCAGCACCGCCCGCATTTGCATATTTAACTAACCCCCGAGTCGGGAGCGCGACAACGATAGACACGATATATACCCTCTCCTCCTCCTGCTGTCTTCTCTCTTTACGTCCTCCTGATGATTCGGAGTGTATATGTGTATTGCATAGCTCTTTCTCTTTTGCGGATGTTCATATTATATTTCGGGATGATTATTATTTTCCTATTAAAATTGACCGTCCAAACGATGCTTCGCCCCAAAGCGTATATCACGTTTTACCCACCCCTTGGGGCTTCTTTTTTTCTTTTTTTTCTTTTTTTTTTTTGTCGATGTTTTGGTATTTCTTACGGTGTTTTTTTTTAAGGGAGGCAAAGAGCGGTGTAGCTTTGAAAGCCGACGCGTCTGGAACGTACACATACGCGCTCGTAGCTGTCGAGTTGACTGATCTTTGACCCTCCCGGTACATGAACGGACACCGGGTTTTTACGTACCCATGTGTGTGCGTGCGTGTGTATATGTTTACAAAAGAGCACTAGAAATTCGAGTATGAAAACTGAGCCGGTGCAGGTAGAGATGACCACCGAGGGGATCGCGTGTTTTTTTATTTTTTTTTTTCACCCGCTCGGAGGAGGATGGAATAGCTCTTTTGCGCACGTGTTTTCGTTGCATTTGCCGGGACGAAGAAGCGAATTCGCTCAAGGGCCGTTTCGTATAGGTGTTTTGAAATTACATGTTTACTTTGTACCCTACACATACGTTGGACGTGACAAAGAGTGTTTTGTCTGTTGATCTATATATATACTTTGCTGATAAAACAACAATAATATTATGGATGCTTTAGTGTTGTTCTTTCACTGTGTATGTAGCTGTGTAGCTATAAAAAAAAAAAAAAAAAAAAAAAAAAAGATATTGACACGACATGATCGCAGGTACAACATACAGCTCGCAACACAGGACTATCGATAACAGATACACACACGTGTGGTGGTTTCAGGGAAGCATTTTATCGAAGCGCGAGTACTCGTATTCAGCTGTACGGATGTTTTCGATACTCGTATGTACTTCTCTCGAGCTATGCGCACTATTTACAAATTGCGAACATACATGTCTGTACCTACTCATCGTGTGTACAATCTCGGATGAACGGAAAAATGGTATCGCTCTAGATTTTCGTGAAAATAATAACAATTTGTCGAGCGATCGCTCGAAGGTAAGATAAAAAAAGAAAAAAAAAAAAAAAATCCTTTGGAGCTCTTGTGGTGCTGCCGTAGCCGCAAGTACGTGATCCTTTTGCAAGCTTTAGCTAGAGAGACGCGAATAGACGAGCAGGTATACCCGAAAGAAAAGCAGCGCCGAGAGCAAAGTCGACGCCTTTTCGGAGTCCCCTCGCGCGCGACAAAGAGTCACACACACACGCTCGACATTTGCGCGGTTTGCTGTTTAAATTGGAAAGAGGTTGGGGGGAGATGGGGTGGAAACGCTCTGATTTCTCCGACGCGGCACAAAAGGCCATTGAAACGTCCTAACGAGGGTCCGTACCGTCGTCCGGCAAGACAGCGTCCACTCGCCCCTCACCCGCGCGTCGGGCCAAACTCCGCTCCCTCCGAATAAGCGATATTCCGTCGCCGGAAACGAAGATGTCGATGACACGGCTTCCCCTTTCCCATCCTCCTCTGCAACATAGTGCTCGGGGGAGGAAAAAAAAAATCCCGTCAATTCTTTTTTTTTTTTTTTTTCCTATCTTTCTCTGTTCTCGCTCCTGGACGCCGTCCACGAATAGTTTGTCCTTCGATTAAACACGACTAAGATCAAGCCCCGAGCATTGCACGTAATTGAAATGTTACAACATTCATGTTGGAGTCGATGCACACCCTTCCAACGCTCGAGCCCCCCCCCCCCCAACAATATTCGGCCCTTTCCAGAGAAAAAAAGACTCCCCCTCCGCTTCGTACTTGCGTAACGTCAACGGGGACGAGGGAAATCGTCGATTCGCCTTTGGCTGTAAAACTCGTGCGTGAAAAATAAGCGCCCCCATCTGTTGGTGAAGGGGGAGGTCTGCAGTTGTGCTCCTTCGCTCGAACAGTTTGCCAAAATCTCGCGGAGACAAACAAACGAGGGGCCGCGCGTGGGGGTGTATATATATAAAAGGCTTGTCCTTCTTTGAGATTCAAATCGAACTTTTGGCATCGGGCGCTAGTGCACTCCATACGCCCCATAAATGCACTCCCCCTGTGCCTTGCATATTAGATGACGAGCGCTTCGTCTTTATTTTGCACAGTAGGTCTTACACTCGAAGGTGCACGATTTTGGGCGTGAGGTAAACCGTATAGAAGGTGATTGAAGAAAGTACAGCTGATATAGGCAACGAGGTCAAGCTTGACTCGTGTATCCTTCGATTTCTGCTCCTGAATTTGAAATACCCCAATGTTTGAACAAAAGCTACGATTTACCAAAAACCTTTTTCTCCCTGTCTGTTTACAACTTGAAAATATTTCGTGTGTTCGTGCACACCCATAAAAGGACATTTCGATCGTGGGGCAACGACTTTACAACAAATCTGGCTACTTTGATCTTTTGTCTCACTTGAACGCAATTATATGTTACTCACTTTCTACTTTAGGTTACAACAGAAGAGCAAGTGTGATTAGACAGATTTACCAAAGTTACATTTTATTTTATTTTTTTATTTATTATTTTTTTTTGTTGCAGGAAACGGAAGTTTGGAGCTGTTTGACAGCGAGAGCGGGCCCGATCTCACGCTGTCGCCCCAGACGTTCACATCCACGGCGGAGGCCTTCATAAACGACAATAGCGACAGTCTCGGTGTTCCGGGTGACAACGACACGGGTGAGTCCACCTATCGCATACATGTACATCCATATTTATCTTGCGTCATTGTTTTTCTCTCTTTTTTATTGATACTTGTTGCGCCATAATTTTATTACTCGGACGATGCGAGAGGGTCTACAGTGCAGGTGTACTTTTTTTGTTGTTGTTTTTTTCCATCAAACTCGAAATTAACGTGAAAGCTCGTTTTCGAGGAAAAAATAACAATCCCTCGTTTATTAATCCCGATGTATACGTGTATACCCGGCTGTTCTTCCGAAAAGTAATTTTCATCAATATTGCTTTTTTAATATTCATGGGGAAAAAAGGCCGGCAGGGGGCGAGGGAGGGCAAAAAAAAGTGAAGCAGAATAAACAAGACGTAATGAATAGCCCCAAGTTCGATGAAAGCCCGAGAGAGAAAGGAAGGAGAAAAAAAAAAAAAAAGAAAAACACCAGGCACCGCACAGCAGGGTCTAATTATTCCATTAGCAGGGGGAGATGACGGGGGTAGAGAAGGTTACACTTCAAAGTAAATTACTCGCTAATTTAACCAGTGGATGAGCCCGACTGTAATTTCGTTAAACTTGTCTCAACGGCATAACGAGATTAGACCGCAAGTACCTCTGGCCTACTTATACCACCCCCTCTCCTATCGATCTCGCCTTTAAACTCTCGCTTCACGGGCCTCATCCGGAGGCAGTGCAACTACACGGTTAAGTAAAAAAAAAAAAAAAAAAAGAGAGAGAGGAGCGTGTAACCGCCGTTAGGTTCACAGACTCGCGTAAATCACGGGGTGCACTCGTAGATAATCGCGAGTGGCCGGCAAATTTCACGCCAGCGCGATGACAAACGACCCCCCCCCCCCATACCTGCAATCTCCAGTGTAAATTTCGTCTTGCACCAAACACACACAAACGCGCACAGACCAATTGTAGCCTTCCACGAGTGCATTCTCGCTTTTTACGCGACAAGGAAGAGGGGGCGTACGTGCTGTGAAATTGCCCGGCGGAACGGAGCTGTGGTTCTTTGTGGCAGCCTCGGCTCCTCGGGGCAGGAAGGAGCAGGCGACGAGGGAAAGAGAGGAGCAGACAATCGGAACGCCGAGAGGCCAACTTAAAGTTACTCTGTTATAGAATTTCTCTCTGCGGCAGCCTCGAAACGACTTTGGCCCGAGGCGCTCAGCTCATGTGGGGGAGGAGAGGCTGTACGGCTATGAATAAATTTCGGCCGGCGATTTGCATATCGTCACGTTGCGCTCTCCCCGCTGGTGTGTGGAACAACGAAAAGGGGGATGAGAGAGAGAGAGGGAGCGCCATTTGCCACCTTAATCTCGCAGCGAGGCTCGACGTGTCATTTGCACGCCGGTGTGTATGTATATTGAAAGGGAGCGGGGGGTGCCTACGCGAGCACATACAGCGCCGCTGGCTTATTTCAGGCCTCGCTTCGATATACATAGGCTTTGTTTTTGTTTGAACTTTAGCGCTCGGCGAGGGTGTATGTAAATGTGTCGTGGCGAAAAAAAAAAAAAAAAAAAAAAAGAAAGAAAAAAAGAGCTTGAACGTAACTTTCGGTGTTTTTTCAATCAATCCGTGCCGGGGCCCAGAGAGTAAATGAGCGGCAGAGCAGATAGCCCATTTGTTTTCCTTTCCCCTCTGCTCGAGACCTCTTTTCCCGCTGCGAGTCGCGATTGCGATTCTTCGAGTGCGCCCGAGCTATATTGCCATTATCAGCGAAAAGCAGAACAAAGGAGAAACGCGGAAGCTCCCAAGACGACGAGGGGGAGCGACCTTTTTCCATCCCGGCGCTGCAAGAATGGATTTACACTCGACGGGACGGGAGGAGGGTAGCGGGGCTCTTTCGCTTTTTCCGCCCTGCTTAGCATGCCCCGTTGAAATATCAATCCGAGGCACGTCTCGGGAGAGACGTATCCATTGTTCGTCGGCGCAGCTGTTCCGATGCCGTGATTTTTCAGCACAAAACGCCCCCGATGTGCGAAACATAAAATTCACGCTTTTGTCCGCTGCGTCTGACCAATATCGCGCTCTACTACTTGTTTTCGCAAGAGGAATGGAATAGTCCCTCGATCGCTCGTATATGGATGAAATGGCGAGCCGCGCCTGATCCATCGTCTGTCAAATCAAAGAATCGCTCTGTCCGGAATCGCAGAGGTGGTAAAAAAAGGTGATGCTTCAATCCAAGGGGTGGGGACAAAGTGGCAATTCTCGGCGAATCAACTTCTTAAAGTCTCGACTCGTCGCGCGAATCCAGCCAGCTAAGAAAAATCATCGGTCTTAAAACGAGACACTCTCGAGCTCCGGTGGTCACTGCCTCGCCGCTCATCTTTACGAGCCAAGGGTCTCACGTGCGGAATAAAAGGGGATGATAAACGTCCTCCGCCCCGAGAAATCCTTCTCAGGCAGGACACTTCTATCTTTCCCGTGAATTTTTCTACCCCCGCGGCTTTCATAACCGTGACGTTTAAAATATCACTCTTTTGGGGAAATGAAAGAAAATATATGTATCAAACGTCACGTGGCGAAGGAAATTGCTTATTTCTTCATGCAAAAACACCCGAGCGTCCCCACCTCGACGCAGCGAGATAATCAAGACCTGATGAATTGCTCAGCTGGTGGACACCCGTTTCTAAAATAGTGTCGAATCGCACCTTTTCCCCAATTTTTTTCCCTCCTCCACCCACATTCTCGTCGCCGAAAGAGGAAAAAAGGAAAACACACGCGACCCGATCGCCGGCCTTCCCCCGTGCTCTCGATACCGAACCAATAATTTCCTCGCGCTCGTTTACCGGTTTACTACAACTACACGTAGCTGTAATATCAATCATGTCAAGGCAGCGCGTCGCGATAAAATCGCCCGGTGAATTACGATGATTGCGAACCGTACCGTCGTACAAACAAACTCCCGCGTCGTTTCTTTTTTTTTCCTCCCACGTAGGCTTGTCGTGTTACCCTCGCCCCCCCTTTTTTTTTCTCCTCACGTTTGTAATACACATTCGTTACCCAAAGCTGCAGCGCGAGATCAGATTGTTGCTATTCCATTCACCTGCTAACTCGACTCAGCGTACAGGAAATAAAGGCCAAGCGGATGTTTATTACTTTTTTTTTTTTTTTTTCCGAATTTCGTACTTTGGGCAGGACGACGCGCGATAAACGTATATATATATATCCACGGTTGTAGATAAAAATCCACGTCCGACGGCTGTCCTTCGCGCGACTCCAACTTTTTATTTACGAAAACAGCGCCGAGACTGCTTTCCGAAAGCGGAAAGTAAGAAAAAAAGAAAAAAACGAGTGCCCCCGTGTTTACTCCGAACGACGTGCCAAGTCACGATACGACAGCAGCAGTGCCCCCAACCCACCCCCCGTGTTTGGCTGGCGTTGCGCACTTGGAGTTGTCGCGAGGCCATCGCACAAATTGCAACGGCGCCTCGAAGCAGCGTAACAACCAAGTGGCAAAAAATCAACTCGTACACATATAAATACATGTACACATACATACGTATACACAAAAAGAAAGAAATACTCGAGAGCTGTTTTTTCCTCCCCCCCCCCCCTCCCAAAAACCGGAGCGTCGTCGCGAGTTTCTCCCGTCATATTCACGACTTGCGGTGGGTTATACCGTACTACACTCGCTTCCGAGCCGACTGCAGTGACATATTCCCGCGGTGTGTAGAAGAAGGGGGGGGGGAGAGGAGAGATAAGAATGGGGAGGATGGGGAGTTATATGCACTGGCGCGTCTGCGGTGCAGAGAGAGCTTGCAAGTGAGATGTATAGGATAGGGGGGGATGGGGGAAGCTTTCAAACGCCAGGAGCGCGAGAATTACGTCGAAGCTTATGGATTTCTTATCCAATCTCGGCGAAGTGCGTATATAGGCAGAGCCGCGAGTCCCAATCTCGTCTCGAGCACTATACACTAGCGCCAGTCAACGGCAGACACCTATACTCGGCAACCCACCCACCCCCCCCTCGCCACCTCTGTGCCGCAGAGTCGTAGAAAGTACTCTTACGATCGTTACCGCGACGCGCATACGTATAACTGTACGTATACCGTGTGTGTGCAACAACGCGCCCCTGTGACTCCCTTTTGTAGCTTTTGCCTCTCGAATCGTATATACATATATGAGATGCGCGAAAAAAAGACAGCAACCGCGCAACTCCCTCGTTTTCTTGGCTCTTCGAATATTTCGTGCGTTTTGCTCCTCTCCGTCTCTCTACTCTGGAGTGACGAGACCAACTACTAGTACAATCCCGATTTTTAGGCATGACTGTACCACACAAGAGTCCATTAGAATTTCTTCAAAGTGAAATATGTACTTGCGCTGTACGAGGCCCTATATATGAACTCGAACGATCAATCAAAAGTTGCACCTCGTGCGAATCGCCAAAAACAACAAAGTAAGCTCGGTTACTCGAAAGCGTTTGGCATCCGTTGTACCAACGCACGAGAGAGAGAGAGAGAGAGAGTACGAAAGGATAATTAACATCGTCGACGCAAAGTGCGGTTGTGTATAGAACACACACGTCAAAGTGATTAAACCCAACACTGCAGGAGCAGCAGTTGTAGTAGCTGCTTAAACCACGCAGTTTGTGTGTGTGTGTGTGCATGCCCTCGGGCTAATTACTAACGCGCGGCAGTTGAATGGCAACTCGCTCTCGGCGCGTCTCTGACGCGCTTCGTCCGATAAGCTCGAGGTTTCTTGCGCGATGGGCAAATTGCAGCCCTTTCCCTCTCTCTTTTGCTCCAACTGTGGATATTAATGCTCATGGAGTGGAATCGCTACCGAACCACGTCCTGCTATTTCATTTGTTACCAGTACACGCGGATGCATTACATATATACACACCGAAAGCATCCATATCCATGCAGTGTGCTGGAACAAATGCTTTCCTCGTGGTGGTTCCAAAAGAGCCGCTTATCTTTTCCCAAATGAAACAAAAAACGCCAGGGAAAAAATAAAAATCGTCCGTTTGAGCCTCCGTGTGCCCATCGCGGAAATTGAA